TGACGGTAAAGGTCGTTGTGTCTTGCTGCGGGTTTCCGTCATAATGTTTCCGAATGACCCTGCTGTCTACGGTCGTTATGGTTCGGGTGTACGAGGTGTTGGTGATGAAATCCATGTTTTTGCACCTGACACAGAAATAATGGATCGGCAGGGAAGTATGGTAACGACACAGGTGTGGTGATGAGAATATGCCACCCATGGTCGAGGCAAGTAATGGAAGATCGTAGTGCAGCACCCAGTGTAACGACATAGCAGTCGGGAAGACGGCGAGGGGGGGAAGACGGCGCGGGGTTCAAAGAGCATGTACTTCAAGGGCCGACTGTCTGCCTTCATGTGCTGCAATGCCGACGGCACTGCGAAGGTTGACATGGCCATCATCGGGAAGGCAAAGGAACCCCGCTGCTTCAAGAGCGCGCCTTCACCTCTTAAGTACTTCTCGCAAGCCAACGCGTGGTCCGACTCTGCGACGTTCCTCAAGTGGTGGCTTGAAGTCTTCCTTCCGTTCGTTCGGCACTTCACTCACGAACCTGTGCTGCTGATGATGGACGGCTGTGCCTCTCACGCTGATCTCGTGGATGTCCGGGGGCAAGTGACCATCAAGTTCTACCCTCCGCTGTGCACCTCCGTACACCAGCCCATGGATCTGGGGATCATCGCCAAGACGAAAGTCGTCTTCAGGAAGGAGTGGCTCGATGTGAAGACATCAACTATGTTGGTGGCTGACACACTTCGCGCCCAGGCGAAAGCCCGCAAGATGAAGGCCGGGACAATGGGGCTGGCGCAAGGGCACCAACCTCATCTGCGGGACGCCGCAGAACTTCTCAAGAAAGCATGGGCCAGCGTCACCGCCCAGGATATCGCCAGGTGAGGTTTGAACATGTGGCATCGCTGTTTTTTTTCCCAGCTCCCTCAAGTGCGCGTGGCTTTGGTGGTGCGATACGTGGGGACAGTTGTACGGACAGTGTCGCATAGGTTTCTTCCTTTTTTTTCGACTGAGTATTGCAGCATCCGGATATGCCCATTTTTTCTCTTCTACGAAAGGGTCCTCTCTCGCATCCCTATGAGTTTTCTTCGTCACTCCCGTCCAACATCGCTTGTCCGCCCCAAAACGGATGCATTGCATTTTCTGCTACCTGGGACCAGGTGCTTTGTCAAGGCCGACACGCTTCCTCCAGAGATGGCGGCTGAGCTCACCAAACAACACGGAAAGACCCGGTTCAGCATCGCCGAGACTGACTTGAAGGCTCTCACGGAGACCGTCAACAACTTGAGCACGAGCGTCGGCGACGCGCACAAGCAGGGAGCCGGCACCGTAGACGAGGACATCAGCGAGCTCTTCGCAGAACTCGACATCGAACCCGGAAAGCCGGTCGAGGGAGAAGCGGTGAGGGCGATTCAGGGGTGGGCTACCATCGAGGACGGCGAGGAGGTGGCGGAGGCTCTTCGACTGGACGCAGTGGACGAAATGGCGGCACTGCTGGCTGGAACGCGCGTGACTACCGGCGGTGATGAGGAGGACGAAGGGGAGGGCAGTGGCGATGACAACACGGGGCCCGAGCGCCGTGCTCCACCCGATTATGCTGAGCTATCGCCTCACTTCAGCGTCCTGGAAGCCGCAGCAGATGAGAGTGGCAACGCAGACGCGGCGTTCTTCCTAACGAAAGCGAAGATGGCGATGATTGCAGAGCATTCCGCTAAGCGGGTGCGCCAGGCAGGCATGAGAGAGTTTGTTGCTGCTACCGAGTAAGGTTGAGGGGTACAGCTGGTGATGCAATGTTGCAATGGTTGTTTGCTTTTCTTCCGGTGCGCTTCCTGTCGTGTTTTTCTCTGTCACCGTTTCTTCTTGTCACATCCAAGGGGGTGCGCCAGGCAGACATGAAAGAGTTGCTGCTACGTCGCGAGGGCGGGGAGAACAGCTGTGGTAGAGTATGTAATGGTCATCTATTTTCCGTGCGGTGCGCTTCCTGTCGTGCTTGTGTTCTTGGGGTTGTTTTGATTCTTTCTTGCGACATCCAAGGGGGTGCGCCAGGCAGACATGAAAGAGTTGCTGCTACGTTGCGAGGGCGGGGAGAACAGCTGTGGTAGAGTGTGTAATGGTCGTTTATTTTTCGTGCGGTGCGCTCCCTGTCGTGGTTCTCTGTTGTCTTTTTTTATCTGGCAACATCGAAGGAGGGCAACGAGGACTTAGACGTCCACTAATAATACACGTATTCGATCCACGATCCACATCGTACTTTGTTGGCCCCGCAAAGCTTGAGCGCTGCACCATGAAATCAACACCTACTCGGTAGTGCCGGTCCGGCACTACTGAGGGATATTCGAAGCCTCAATAGTGCCGTACCGGCACTACTGAGGCACTATTCTGAATACCGCCGGTGCCCGGTATAGTGCCGCTTTTTTCTCTGGACACTACCCGGCACTATAGAGGGCCCACTACTGTATGCACATCCACAACGAGCATCAATTGGTTTTACCAAACAGCAATTGGTTTGTATACCATGTGCCCTGCTGGGCTGTGATCATTTCATGCATGCAGTTATGTCGTATGCCAGATGATCCGTATATCTCAGTTGATATGTCTCTGCATGGTATCAGTACACAGCAGCCCAACATCCGGTGAGCATGCCGCACCGAATCAAGGACCCTGGTGATAGGGTACTTTGAACAAGTATCAGACATGCAAAAAAAACGTTTCCGTGTGTTGCCTTGTGATATTTCCGTGTGTTGCCCTCGTGATTGACATACATCTCAGCTTGCATGCACTGTGCCGTGTATCCGCGACAACCTCGGCGCCGTAATGGCTACGTGCCTGCGAAGACACCGGTCGCTTTTTGTACATCAGATGGCGAATTGGCGTGTGCCTCCATGTATGCACCCATGCTCAAAATAAAATTCCCGCCGCCTGCAATCACCCCAGCAACCCAACGGCAGAGGTGGAACAATCACTACTGGATCGCTACCAGTATTACACCCAACGTGCATCGGAGCCTATCGACCCACACATATCGACCCACACGTACCGCTCAGTGGTGTGCACGCGCGTCCGTACTCCCGGCGTTCCTCTAGCACCGCGATGGAGCAGCGCACTCCCTCGTAAAACTGCTGCTGCTGTTGGGCGGCCCTCTCGGGTCCTCCACGGCTCGCTGATTGTAAGACCGAAATACCAAACTTGTTTGCCGCTCCTCCAACTGGCAAACCACTCGAAGCCCTCACAGTGTCCACCTCGCTCCTTGTCTCTGCGTTGCTCTCTCTAGACTAGTCCTGGTAAGACTTTGTGTGAACACCTAGCTTCGATAGAGTGCCGAGGTGGTGGCTACTCATGCTCCCGCTTGGGAGGGGACTCCGTATTTCCGTGGCAATTTATGCATACCCTAACAACGACTTTACAAATTCGACTACTTTCGAAACCTTGATTTGTTTCCGTCTGCTCCTACAACAAATCTCCCCTCTTGGTTTTAGAGTGGGAGTCAAAAAAAGATTTTTCGTGCATGCATTTGGTTGTAGATTCGCGTGTCCGCTGTGTTACGTTCTGAAGGATCATAATCCCCCCCCCCCACGGGGAGCGATACCATGCACAGGGTTTAACCCACCAGTCAGTGTCTTCGATACCCCTACGAGGGGCCCATTTCATCGAAAACTAGGTCTGTATCCGAGGTGGTAGCGATTGAGTTCTACACGATTGTGAGCGAATCCAACCTCTCTAAAAGAGATCGTCAGTTGAAGCAAGCAGCAACTGAGCCAAAAGTAAACGCCCCTGCGTGTAAACAAAACTAAAGTTGTCCCTACTCCTCCACCATGTCACAGCAGTGGTTATAACGCTATCGTTTAGGGTAGCTCACTCATGTGTTAGCGTAACAAGCACTGGCTAGGGTTCAATTAGTTTCATCCATTTCATGGTCAGTTTCATGGTATCTTACCATTGGATTCAAGTTGGGGGCTAGTAAAAGGGATATAATCCCGGTGGGTCTAGCCCTGTGGGTCTAATCAAGGTGGGATTAGCAAGGGGGGTCTAGGCAACATCTATCCAGATCTACCTCTCATGCTTTGAGTCACAGACTGGTTGCTTCTTAGCGGGTGGGTCAAAGTTCCTCTTCCGAGATTGGCCGTGTTAACAGTGAGCGAGCACCCAAAACACGTGTTGAGGCGGAGCTCTAGAGGGGCCCCGCCAATGATTCAGATACACCCTGGGGTATACCCTAGCCCTCCTCAAACCATCGTGAAACGGAATGAATCTCAGTATCTAGCGCCCGTTCATGCTACCGTGACACTAGCGGCTGCTCCAGCCCCGCCGCATACGTTGCAGAACGCAATCAAGAAGGTCTGCAACGTACCATTGACCACAATGCACTCTGGGGAATTGCACCTTTGACGCTCACCCATGTTGGGAAGTGAGTGCGGTGCACTTGCTCTAGTTTCACAACCGTCATTCAACGTCTCAGATAGCCCAGCTCAGCTAAGCTTTCCAAGAGACGGCTTCGTAAAAGCCAGCGTCTCGTTGTTCCATCTTCCCTCCAAGAACGATTGGAATATAATTATAATAGTTAGTTGTACTTCACCGCAAACATCGATTAAATAGTTTCAAAGCAAGTAATCATAGTACCACACGATAAACCGTCGTGCATGCACAAGATTCGACCTAGAACGCCCCTCGACGAGGGCATGGGGTGGCTGAATCCTTCTCGCCGTCGAAATGAAGGTAACGAAGGCAAGCACCGCGCAGAAGGAGACCGGAGAAAAAAAAAGATAAAACAAAAACCTGCAGGGCTCTTCCTCCTGTGCGGGACACGCTGGTGCGTCCAAATCCTACACCGAGAGGCGCAAGAAACCGATACGACGACACACACAAACAACGAGAGTGGTCATGGTACCCGCAGGAACCAAAACGAGCACAGAGCAGTTCGCACGCATGGCCAGGAAGAAGCAATCAACAACTTCCCCTCCTCCTCCTCCTCCTCCCACCTGGCCTTCTTTTCCCCCAGCCACGGACACCAACGCGAGCACACCAAGCAAGATCAAAAATGGTTGCGGGTCGAGTCTACACGCAAAATGCGTTTTGTGGTCGGTGCTGAATCATGTTATTAACTCGAGGGTTCGAGCCCCCCCCCACCCACCCCGCGCCTGCCACACGAAGACAGATATTCCAACCAAGGTCTGTCAAAGTGAGCAAGAGGACAACGCCCCGACCCTCTATCTATCACCGTCCCTTCCCTTCGTGCTACCCCGAAAACACGCGGGGAGCAACTAATTAGAGAAAATCCGCCCCAAAAACGTCGGCATGCGCTGTCCGTAGCTCCTTAATACAGCATCGTTATGGCGAAGGCGGTCCAGAAGCTCACGGTTATGCTCGAAGCTGCGTACTGCCACACAAGTAGTCGTGAGATGAAGCCCGCCGTCCTCGGCAACCGAATTTGGTGAAGGAGGGGGATCATGATCTGCGACGACACGAGGAAATTTTTTTCGTGCAAATGCAATACTCGAAATCTTATCGACGACAGATGGAAGAGAAAGTCATGACTAAACAAGACTATTTACACAGTCTTAACCCAGCGAAAACCATAATTTCATTAAAAAAAAAAAGTCAAATATCGCCTGCAACTGATGCGTCGAGCATGTCATCTACTTCGAACGGAGTCGGCCCGATCTCTCGGACATTGTCAGCAAGTAGACTCGTCATGTCCTAGCGCCTTCCCAGAACCTACCCAAGAGACAGCGGCACCGATGGTCCGAAGGAGGATTGGACTTGCGCGGATCAACTATGCATAGTTACTTGGGGGCAAGGTTTTACTACCGCCTGCAACAAGGCGAGGTCGGAGTGGCGTTCGGAGTTCGTTTACGCAGGGCGGCGACGACGGAGAAGTGACATCAATCGGGACGGGTACCGAACCAACAAAAACAGCAAGCAAGAGGGGGTGTACATGGTCCGGTCACCGCTCACACATACCAAAGGGGGAGTGTCGTGTTTCTCAACTGACCAAGAAACCAGATGCTTGCCAACATGCTATTCTATTTGATGCTGCTGTGGCATGATGATAGCGGAAGGGTTTACGAGCACAAGGTAGGCTCCGATCTAGTCCCGCCGGGGGACAGACAATACAAAGGAAGCACAACCACGGTAGACTAAAGACCAGCCTTCTCACCGTCGCTGTAGGCATGGCGAACTCCACCAACAGGATGAGGTGCATTAACCGGTTCTCGCCCATCACCGAGCTGTACGTCTTTGCCCCCCAGAAAACGCCGAAGAACGCAGCGGGGATCTGAGCACCACACGGGACGCCACACGATTGGTCGCCCGAGACAAAACACAGGTTGAAACTGTCACAAGAAGAAACAGAGCTAGAATCTTATTGCGTAGCACTACCATTGCACGGGGCTTCTCTGCACGCGGTCCAACCCCCGTCCTTTTCATTTACGCGATGAGCACATACACGTCTATCCGGTCCTTTCTTCTCTCTGATTGAGTGGCCGGTGGCCGCACAACCTTCTTCGCGTTTGAAATTGCGAGACAACTTGACGTTCTCTCCGTTCTCTCGTTGTGCTCGGATTTCGCCTTCCGTGCCGTGTGTGCTGGTAGGAAAATGGCGCTTGAGGAGGTGGCCGAGACGATCACCAACGAAAGAAAGACCGAATGCATCAGACACGAATGTCGACCCCCGTACAGCAGGTCGTCATTGCAACTTCTCTCTGCTGTACGGAACGTGTTCGCTCGCTGTTGATAACCTGTCTCTCAAAAAACATCACACACATGTACATCCGCCAACACAAAGAACAATAGAGAAACGCATATCTAATGGAGACTGATTCATCGCTCTATACCACATATTTAGAAAAAAGAAAGAAAGAATCACGCAAGCTCACAGCGATAAGGCGGAGGAAGACAAGCAAGAAGCCCATGACGAATCGGGGTCGACGCCAAATCGGCACGGCGGCCTCGTGCCCCCCCGCAGATGGTGCCGCTCCGTTGGCAACCGCCGAAACCGCCACCAGAGAACCGGCCATCACCAACGATGAAACCGTCACCGTTGGCACACCCACCGCCTTCATCCGGAGCGACAAAAAATTTGGTCATGCGGAGTGACAACAAAACAGGTATCGGTGATATGCCGGAGTGACAACAGGAAGGTATTGGCAATCGCAAGAGGTCGACGACTGTCGGCGGGGGGCCGGAAGGGCTCTTGATGTGGTCTGACTTACGCACATTCAAGGTTCTCGTGCGGGCATTCTTTCCTTATGCGGCGAAATTTTGACCGGTTGACACAAGGATTGCGGAAAGTAAATTTTGTCCGGCCGATTTCTCGGGCACCGAAGAGATCAGAAAAGTCGGGCTTCCGTTCTAGCGACACTGTAGTGTCGCTGGATGAACTTTCCGGTTTTCTCGGGACGAAACGATGAAAACACAATGTCGGCTCCGGCTGAACAGAGATCAGAGTGGACCATTGTCACGGACTTGTGTGTCTCGCGTTGCTGAGCCTCGGCACTCTCTAAATGTATCTCCAATAACCCAAGCCTCTCTCTCTGCTGACCCGAACATGTGACGGGAGGGCGGTTTTCTGTGGGAGAATCGCGGAGCAGTACCGCTATTAAGCACCTGGATTGCTCCTCCCAGAGGGCGCAGAAGCGCCTGCGGGTTGTGGAACAGCATGTCCTGGAGGGGTTCGGTCGTGCATATCACGATGCCCGCTACCACTGCCACGATAACAGGCGAAACCAACAAAGTCCACGCCCGGTGCTTCGCCTCTTCCCACGGCCCTTCGCTGTCACCGCCAACACCACCATCAACGTCGCCGGTGCCGCCCCCAGCGTCACCGCCGTCAATGGCGTTGCCCTCCTCTATAACCAGGAGGTCCGCCACTACTACTGTGTTCTCCTTGCGCCTCCGTCGCGTCGAGGCAACCTCACTAGCGTCTGCGTCTTCGCCACCACCACGTCCAGTCTGCGGTATGAGAGTGTGTTGATCTCTTCGAAGGGGTGACGATACCGCCGCCACCTCGCGACTGTGCAGCGAACCGACTGGAAAGCCATGGTTCTTGGCACCCGTTCCCGTTGCTCCTGTTCCCGATTCGGTGGCCGCTCCGACAACCCCCGTTTCATCGCCTGCTGCTGCTGCTGCTGCTGCGCCCGCTTGGGGGTCTACGGCGCCGCTGTCTCCTCCCACCGCCCCCCCATCCGCCCACTTTGAAGACCTGTCGCCGTCAACCTTGGCTGCCTCAGCAGGCTTGGGATGGAGCGCGTGATTGGGGGAGGAATTGCTAAGCGTGACGCTCGACGGCGGACTAGTACTGCTGATGACTTTCGTGATGCTGCCGTTGCCGTGACCCCTCTGGCAACGGGGGGGGTCTGCTGCATGTGGCGGGTCTGTGCCCCCCGACGAAATTGCCGTTTCTCTTACTGTTGTTGTTGGCGATGGTGCCGCTGCTGGCTGGCCAGTTAGGGCTAGCTCGAGGGCGTTGTCGTTCTGGAAGCAGTAGACGCCCCACGCGTAGAACCAAACCTGCGACGGGTGCGAACGAGGATCGATTTGTGTAGAGAAACGGCGGAAAGAACACCGTAGTTGTTGACACCTTCCGTAGTCATGATCGCTGTCGTCACCCGCGGTATTACCGCGACCACCCCTGTTGTTTCCGCCGAGGGTAGCACGCGCGGTATGTACCGCCCCGTGGTACACTCGTCGCATGCACGGTATGTACCATCCCGCGGTACCCTCGTCTCACTGCATGGCACACATCATCTTGCCCTCCTGCTCGCTCGGCAATTACTCCGTCTGCGAAAACGTCCACCACCAGGCTGGCCTGAGTGTGTGGTTGGTGGTGAGAGGGGAACGAATCAACGGATAAAAGGGGGCGGCGATTCAACCGCTTCACCTGTGTCTAAATCACCTGCCAGACGGCGAGGAAGATGAAGATCATGCCGGTCGCTTGGTCGAAGCATTCGTTGTTGTCGCCGTCGAAGTCGCTTTCAAGCGCAGGCAGGTGTAACGACGAAATGGGGGCGGGGCGTGGGTGGTGGGAGAGAGGCAAGCATAACGCCCACCCGAAACGAATCCAAAAGTAGGCAACAACTAAACGGAGCACGGTTAGGCCAGACGTTTGAAGATGATCCCCCCTCTCGATACAACGTGGCACAGCTGCCCCACTTTCGGCGCCATAAGCAGTCCATGAGAGACACCCGGGCGCGCACCGCCGTCAACAAACCAGCCACAGACATGCAGACAGAACAATCGTGTGAGCCCCGGCGAAAGCAAAGCCTTGTTGCGTATAGACGGGCAAGAGGTCAAAAAGGCAGGCACTAGAGACCACGAACACGAAGCGGGCAACGGATGGGCGCACACCTGTTGATTAAGTCCTGCTCACAGAGCGCATCGAACAGCACCAGCGGGACTACGAGCGCGTTAGGGAACGCGATCGCCAGCTGCACCGGCCGAAACTTCGCCCGCTCGTCCCGCCGCATCAGCAGCCACCCGAACGCCCAGGCGATGCCGTTCGAGAGGCCGATCGACAAGGTGCTGCTCACCACCAAGTGCCAAGAGTCTCGCAGCGCTCCCGGGTTTAAGTTGGCCCCCATGCCGGCCAGCATGAGACAGGGCAAGAAGAGGTCCATGGCCACCCTGCTGAAGTGTCGGCCGACCTCTTTCGGCATGAGGGCTGTGCGCACACACATCGTTATTGCACGATACGCGCGGTGCGGGTTGGGTGATGATAACTGGTACAGTAGAGGTCCCTGTTTAAGGCCGCATAGTGTGGAAGGTACAAACCGGCCTTAAACAGGGCACCCGGCCTTACTGGAAACGGCCCTTGTTTAAGGCCGGTACAGGCCTTATACAGGATTATGAATTCCTCAATAAGGCCGGTACCGGCCTTATTGAGGAATAGTGCAGCGCACTCAAGGCTATGCGGGAAGCGGGCCGGTTCAAACATGTCTGAAAGCCAGCAGGGGTGTATATCACTCACTCACAGTGCCACAGCGCCGCGTTGGATGTGCACCACATGGCACTGCTACGTATGTATGTACTGAATGACGACTACTGTACATTACTGTAACTGGTCAACATATATGTCGTGGTCCAAGTCACAAAACCAACCTAAACGACAGAAAAGCAGAGTGTCACGTGAAAATGGAAGACGTGAAAGTACGGACGGCAAGGACACCATAGAATGAAAAAAATTACTCACGAACGGTCGACAAATATGCTGCTTACGTACTGATGCTGCTCAGTTTGAGAGGACGTAGATACGCCACAAAAACCTACAACGATCTACATGTGTTGCACATGTTAATATTTCTCCGTCCAACAACGACGGCACACAAAAAAAAAAAAAAACATCTTCTGCATGCAATAGCAACGGCACACGATGGTTGAAAAAACAAGAGTGTTCCTGCATACGATCAAGGGCGACCGACCGACCAAATTGGCAGAGAAGACTCTGCCGCGACAGCTGTTGAAACTGATCAGGGTGGTCGGCTGGTTTTGTCTTTTTCGGTCCTGCTGTGCCTCCGCCCTCCGTGGCTGACCCTTTGCGCTTGCCCTTGCCAACTTTCGAGGCATCGCTGGTGGCTTGCTTTTGCTTGGAGGCAATGCATGAAACGCAGATGCGGGCGGTTTCGTACTCCCCATCTTGGTCGCGTTCCCCACACACTCCGTGCAGTCGCCCACCACACCCTCCCCGACATTCGTGGCCGTGAGGGGCTACTTGCGTCTTCTCTGGTAGAGTGCACAGCTCACCAGCCGCACAAGGCATGTATGCCCCTACTGGTTGGGTCGGTAGGGGTACGCTAGGCTGTTGTGTGTTGTGTGTGTGGAGATGTCGAGAGCTGCTGTGTTGTGGCTTGAAAATAATGCGGCCGAACCTGCGTGCGTCACCCCAAAACCGGCCTTAAATAGGGTGGGAGGAGGTTCCAACAGGCCTTAAATAGGGACCATCCCTTTTTAAGGCCTTAAAAAGGAAGGCATTTGGGGCAGGCGATTTCACCGGCCTTAAACAGGGCCACCGGCCTTAAATTTGCGGCCTTCAACAGGGACCTCTACTGTAGGGGCCAAAACGAGTCGCAACCGGTCCGTGAAGGTGATTGGTAGGGGACGGGGGTGGATGGACGCAACGGGCTGCAGGAATATTTCGAGAGTGTAGCGAGACAGGTTCTAGCCAAAAACAAGGGCGTTTTTTTGTGTTTTTGTGGTACATGTATTTGGAAAGATTCTTGCTGGGAGCTGTGAATCGGCTGGGGTTTCCAAACCTCTTGTCGTCGGTTTTCGGTGCAGTCGGTATCCAATCCACCGGTTCGCGAGCCCCCCGACGGCGGCAACTAGATTGTATTCACGTGGGACACATTTCCTAACATTGTGTGCGAGAAAGGAGGTAGCATTTTGGCCAGACAAGGATGAGTGCAGGATTACCTCTCGAGTAGGTAGTGCTTATATAGGACTTGGTCGAAAGGTGGTCTCCACGTTGAAACACGATTTCTCGGAACAATCCTTCGGTAGGTGCAGCTCGTGCACAGCAACCTAGCTGTTTACCCCTCTTGTGCCGCGGCATAGCCTTATACGTACAGTGACCCAGCCCTTACCCCCTCTTACGCCGCGGCTTGGGCTTACACGCAGTTTTTTACTGAGCGCTATAGAAGCCGAAATCAAACCATGAGATAATAGTCAGTCACTAGACTAGTCAGTGATTTCGGCTTCTACTAGGTATGGGGGGGGTAATGAGCCGCGTGGTGCGACTCAACACCTTGCAGTAGTCTTATCTGCGATGCTGATGGTGCACGGATCCCGACACACACTAGCGTGAATCGTTTGTGGTGCAGTTACGCGTGCACCACAGAGGGACAGCAGGCGTGCGACGGAGCGACGATGGTTGTATGTGCGGCCACCGTTCAAACTGAAAAATTTGCACTTTACATGCGGTTGTTTCTTTTCCGTTTTGATGCACAAGCATGCACGAAGAAACAAAATGTGAAGTCTTCCCGCTGTGCGGACGCAAACACGTACATCTGGGCATCTGGAAGAGGCACGCATGCGGCATACACCTGGCGGCAAGCGTATCACACATCACACCGTCGAGGAGCACGACCAGCAGCGTAGACATAGGATTGTGACACGACAGATGATGGCAAATATTGTGCGTCAGGCTCACAAGTTGCGCGCCACATTCGTCTCAAGCCTTCCGAGGTTCCCGCCAAGTGATAACAGTCCAGCATGAACCAAAAACAATAAAGCCGTTGATGGTCATGACGTCATGACTTTGATGCGAAACACTCTACAGCAGCAACAACAGCATGCAGGGCACTGCTTTTGCCAAGACAGTCAGTAGCGCGGCGCAAGTACGCAATCTGAATCGATCCCGTGGGGAACCATCCTGATAACGCACAGCAGCAGCAGTAGACCCTCACGCCCTCGACGGTTTCTCTCGATGATTGTAGGTGTGATCTGGACTTGGGAAGGTGTGCTACGTATGTTCAACTGTGATCATCGGTTTTTGCTCTTTTTGGAGCAGTCGGTTGGACCCACTCAACATCAATAAACACCCGCTAGGTTACACATGGCGCATGCCTACAGTATACCCACGGTGCACAGGTCGTATAGGCCCGGCCCCTCCTGGTTTTCATAATAGCTGGTCTCAGACCAGCGTCTCAGCGGTGACTGCGTTTTTTGGTGTTGTCGCGTCTCTGTCTGTGTTCGTTTCTTGTCCTGGTTTGAATCGCGCGCGCGATCTCCGCTTTTGTATACATGCCTTTTCGCGTAGAAACCCCGGGGTTGGGGATCAAGATCTCCTACGAAGTTAGGCTACATATGCCGGTGAAGCACGGCCATCTGCTATGGGAGCACGACGAAATCGGTGTGACGCAGAGCGTGCCATTTTTCTTGTTTCTCAGAAGCGAACAGATCGTCAATCGGTGCCCTATAGATCTCGTTCTGGTTCCAAAGGTGGGCTATATCGGCTTCCCGGAAATCAAGTTTTGGGGCCCCTGTATCGCGCGGCGCAACTTTGGCCGATATATAGACCCTTTTTTTTCCCTCCTGGGGATGAGAAGGGAAAAAAGGTCGCTCCGCGGCTTATTATAAAAGTTAGTCGTGGGTTCGAGACCCAGGCTCGACACTTTGAAGTGTTTTTTTTCGTGAGACCCTGGATTCTCTCGGCCAGAATATGGGTGACGGAAGGACTCGTGGACCCTGGAACATTCTGCAGGATCGAAGTATCTAGCTGTGGGTCGGGTTGTTTGGGTTTTGGGGTTAGAGATAGAGCTAGGGCTAAGGTTGGTTCGGAACGGTGAACACACGACAGCAACCCGCGTTGTAGACGAGACTATACATCTTACAGTACTCCGCCGCCCCATCTACCTCATTTAGAGGTTCCTAGGGATGGATATAAACTGGAACTCTGGGGGTTGTATACAGGGTGTAATCAGGAAGTTTCCTAAGATTTTTTGCCGGCCTTTCTTTCGACCAAGTACCCCCCAATACGTATGCATCGATTGCGGGTCTCGGCTTGTGTGCGGTTATTGCCTGGAAGCAGCGTGTCTCGCACAGCATCGCCGATAGACTATGTACTGCAAGGTATTGGGTCGTACCTCGCGGCTCAATACCCCGCCCTACTAATACCCCAGGAACACCAGCGCGCAAGTTCAACACCAACAAGTAACCACGTTTAGTCGTTTGGTCACTCATACATACAGTATCAAGAGGATACTTACGTTCTCGTTTGGGCCTGACCGACACGATGTATCCGACGCCTAGGACAACGAAAAACCTGAACGTCCCCAGTACACTGGTGAGCAGCACCGTCGTCGTCGTGTCCCCCATGTCGTCTTCTTGCTGACCATCCAATGTGCAATCACGTCTGCGCATACAAAGTTCAAATTGCAGAGCGGTTGGATGCGGTGTAAATGTGTAAATAGGGCACGGATGTCCGGAAGAACCTTTATAATATTGTAGTGGCCAGGGGCCAGGGGCAAGGGTCAAGGGTTCGGACCCCGGCGTAAGCGAACCTATTCCCTAACCCTAACCCTAACCCAACTTCCCCGATTGTATTCTTTATTCAATATGATTGCTGAATACGAAAAACCTGCGGTGCATGTGAGAGATTTTCTCTCGCTTCCGTTCCTGGCCTGGTGGAAAGCGCTACAGCAGTACATACATAGGCTACTGCTGTAGTTCGCGTGCACACAGAGAGTGCGGCACTCTTCTCACATTAAGAATCAAAGGCAACGCACCGCAGGAGGGGTGGGTAGGGGGCCTCAGGGAGAGGAACCCGTCTTTGCGTGTGACCACGGGTTGGAGTGGTAGAATGTGCTAAACATTCATGCTGCGAAGCGCTGATGCTCTACAAGAGATGCGCTGATTTGAAGTATGACAAAAAAAAACTTGTCCCGAAGAGTCGGAAAATGTATCGTGAACTGGTTCTCGGTTCTCCAGGCTGACCAACCACCGACGACCACGAACAAAACACGTGCGGAAACGCGGAGACGCGCTGCGAAGCCCGTTTGTATATTTAGCATGTGTTTGCGACTGGCACTGCTGTACACTGCACCATGAGGCACCCTGGCGGTCATTCCCTGGCGCTTGGCTGGTGCCTGTGCCTGCTATACAGCGGGTACGAGCTCGCTAGAGCGTCCTCTCTCGCTCTCTTCAACAAGAGCGATGCAGGCCTGAGCGGAGCACTCACCTCGACCGTGAGCTTTGTGCTGAGCGTGGCAATGCTCGGGGTGTATGGGGTCGGAGCGGAGGCGCTGGGGGGCAAGTGGACTCTCGTCGTTAGCGCCGGTGGGTGCTGTGTTGTGTTTCTAGCCTTCGCGTTTGCGTGTTTCGGGGATGCGGTCTTCGGCAGGACGGTTATATGCGGCCTCTACGCGTTTCGGGAGATGTATGTGGCGTTGATAGCGACCCAGGTCTGGGGGCTGCTGTCGGCGGCGCTCAAGCAGAGAGGAGAAAGGGAATCGCGACGCTGGTTCTGCATCATCCAGGTGCGGTAGGTCCTATGCAGCAGTTCTGTGCTTGCATGATTGCATCGCGTGAATGCTTCGTGGTTGCAGTTTTACAGGGTGATGTGACGCACGAATGTGTTGGCTAATTTACACGGGTAAACAGTAAATGTCCCACCCGTGATCAGCGGGCACCATCGCCGTGCAAAGGGGAGAGACCCGAGCAGTGCACGGCAGCGAGAACGCATAGACCGCTCCAACGCAAGTTTTACTGGGGGGCGACCGAAAAGCAGCAGTGGGTGGAGGTGCCTTGTGCGCTTGTTTCCTTCTCAAACGAAAACCCCCCAAAAAATGGCGAGAGTTTGGCCGTTCAACGAAGAGGCACATACCTTCAGCCAGCCACCAAGGTTGAAATGGATGCACCACGTACCATGTAAATTATACACACACGGCGGCTGAGCATACACCACCAGAAGAACAGCTATTCCTCCTTGCTTGCCCAGTTTTATAGTTCCTTGCCCAAAAAACCAATGAAGTAAGTATTTGGCTTCTACATCGCCCAAACATTTCCCCCGCCCGTTGACGTCTCGCCCAATCAGGGTGTGTCTTGCATTTGCAGCGCCTTCTCCGGGGTAGCGGCGGGACGCCTGGCGACCGCCGGAGGCCAGGCTTACCTCCTTCTTGCAGCAGCTCTCTCCCTCGGCACCATCACGGTCACCGCTGTGGCGTTAACACCCGTCAAGGCGGGCGGGTGGGGGGTCGAAAAGGTCGAGGGGAAAACGGGCAAGAAAAAGAGTGACCACGGGATGCTGAGCGTGCTTAGGTGACGAGCAGGCCGGACCTTTTTTTGTTTTCGGCGTTTGGCGGCGCGGTCTGTTGTGTCGACCCATGAACAAAGCGCTGAGAGGCAAGCCATCCGCTCACGGTCTCATGTAAACCCTTGAAACCTTGGACTGATGCTCGCGTGGCCACGGCACGTAACACGGTCATTTTGCTGTGAGGTTGGTTAATTCTGAATCAGCTACGCAAGAAAATGGTGCAAGTCGTAACTAGGGGTTCTATCGTCCTACTCGGGGTGTGTGGTGATTTGAGACGGATTAAAAAACTTTCGTTTCGAGTTCACCACCAAGCAACAAAATATGTAAATATCGTACACGACGCAGCAGAGGTGCAGAGAAAGACGGGGAAAGAGGACGATAACTACTGTAGCTCGCGGTTACAACATAGTATACCGCCTCTCCGACCCAAGGCACTTACAGCTACGAAGTGACAATTCATTCCCCTTTACAAGACAGCCGCTGAGCAGCTCGCGATTCCCTCCGAAAAGAACAAAGCGTACAATAGTGTAATTTTGGGGGTTTTCCGGTTTCAAGACAACTTGTTTCCTCCTACTATATCGTTTTTTGCAGGGCTATACGTGGAGTTCGATGGGATGGTAAATGGGATGGTAATGGGATGGTAGTGGTATGGTAGTGGTATGGTAGAAGATTTTCGATCCCACCACGTTTACCACCCCATTTAGAACTTGCCACGTCGCTCCCATCCCATCTACACTCCCATCCGAATGGCGTATCCCATCCCAGCCACTCCCATCACAAAGCACATCCCATCCCAGCCACTCCCATCACAAAAGCATATCCCATCCCAGTCACTCCCACCAACATGACAACCACATCCAATCTAAACACCAGCCAACCGCACATTTTCCACTACCCACCCCCCTGCGTACCTATTCTAATGAAGAACGTACTGTTGCACCAGTTGGCGCCTCCCCCGCCGCCTCCTACTCGGCCTGCTGCATCTGGCATGTCTATGCAGCCATTATCTATTATGTGTTCACACCAAACATGGCGGACCGCGAAGCCAACAGCAGTAGCGAGTCTGCACGACGACATTCATTCATTCTACAGCAACAGCTCCCTCAGCAGCTCCCGCTAGCAACAGCGGTGTCAAGTCAACCACATAGTGCCTCGGCGGGAAGGGGTTGTCGTTCTTCAATTATTGTGTAGCTGTGTTGCATGCTAGATGGCATCTCTCTGTGCTAGTTGAGTTTGTAGCGGGGAAGGCAACCAAGTAAGGCGCAGCATATGAGAAATAGCAGCCCGTAGTTATGTATGTGCGTGTGCGTGTGTTTCTTTTCTTTCCTTTTCTGTTTGTGCGTATCATAGCATCTATCTCGCATGAAAAGGGTTATGTATGCATATATACTGTAGATCTATACGACGAGCCTTACTGGCTGCCATGATTTTCAATCACCCGCCTTGTTTGTGCTAAATTGTGCAAGGAGATGAATGCTTGTGTCCTCCCCATGAACAGGAGAGAGAGGCGGCAAACCTTGTAATAAAAACTATCGCCATCAACAGCGAAAACTTGAGATAGATTTTATCATCCTATCCCACCACCCCTTCGTGAACGTATCCATCCCATCCCATCGAAACATCCAGCAGTTCCCGTTCCATCCCAGCAAACAGGATTGGCTAATACAATCCCATCCCATTAGCGTGAAGCGCAATCCCTTCCCCATCCCATCCCATTCCCATCGGAAAAATTAAGATCCCATCCCATCGAAGCTGATGGTAAGCCCAAGAAAAGTTCCGCCTGCGGCGGGCTTTTCTTACCATTCCCATCCCACGGGGCGACTACGTCGCCACGTATGGCCCTGGTTTTTTGTCTCCTATGAGCATCTTTCTTCCTGATCCGCTCCAACTTCTTTCTACATTCCTCTCCTGGTTGTTGCCACGCAGATCAAGCGCGTCCCTCTTTCGACAGAGCCCCTTGCTGGCGGCGCTGCTAGCGGAAGCGACGGTGTGCCAGGTGAGGCCGCGGTAAGGAGCATGGTCTCCGATGGTCATGAGCTGTTGGTGTGGCCAAGTAGACGGGGATCGGATAAAACATGGCGGTTTATTACGTAAATGATGATCACCTGGGACATATAGACCAAGCTCGTTAGGGTAATGGCTGAAGAGGGGGTGGCGGAACAGGAAGGAGTGTCTCAAGCGCCTTGACGAATCACCCTAGACTTGACACCGATGGACGATTTTGCCAATGGGTGTAGAGCCTGAAGGATGCAAGTGCTACATATGGAATCTGACCGGCTGTTGGTGGGCGAGATCCCATAACCTACGGCCGGGTCGTGTGTGCTGGTTTCCCACACTCGGCCTAGATAAGCAATCGAACGGCGGAACACGACGACACCGCTGCTCAATGGTGTCGCCTCTCCCTTCTCTGCCCCGCGCTGCTTGTTGTTTCCTGGTAATTTCTGGTAAGAATGCTGCTGCTTTTTGCTGCTGCTTCTGTTGCTTCCAACAGCTTTTTCAGCAAACCTCAGCACGAAGCGCGCCACTGACATCACACCTTAAAATGACTCGCCTTGTTTGTCCATTCAAATTGCTTAGAAATCAACGAAGAAATGTCCTCCTCTCCTGTTGGTTCGTGCCTCTTATCATCTCACGTAGTCTTGTTATTTGTGGTCGTCGCCGTCGTCATCGTCGTCGTTTAGGTGTTGGTAGCAACTCTAAACTTGAGCTTCAACGAGGCCATTAGACAGGGTCTCCCACCAGAGGAGGCCTCCGGGGAAACAGGGGCAAGGGCTGCGGGCTTCGTGGGGAACTCGTTCGCTGTAATTGGGTGAGCCAGCAAAACCGACGGCCCGCGCTGCCGTATTGTACCATGTCTAAAGCATGGGAAGTGCTGTTGTGTTGCTTGCTTCGGTCTTGTGGGAATCGTTCCAGGCGTGTAGGGAAGGGGCGGGGTCAAGATATTCGCAGTAGCCCTTGCAGCAGCAATCGTGCAGGGAAAAGAGAACCTCAGACCTCCCGCAGTCCGATTCCTAGCTTGTCTAGCGTGTGTCCACCATTAATACTGCTGCCCCCCCCCCCCCCGCGACAGCTTGGTCTCTGGCATTTTGCAGCTGGTGGTGATGCCCTGGGCGATGGTCCGCGTCAACCCCTTCCCTCCTCCTGAAGACACTACCCGTCGTCGCAGGCGGCGGTTTCCTGGTGACCTTCGTGTCCCCAGGGTTTCGAACCGCCACAGTGGCATTCTCCGTAACGAAGATCCTCGAGTATAGCGTCAGGTGCGTCAACGGAAAAAGGGACGGGGGGAGTCACGGTGAACGTGCTGCCGTACCTATGTAAGCGAGAAAGGGGGGCGGGAAGCTACAGGTGAAGGTGCTACATATGCGCATTCGAAAAAAGGGACCGGGAGGTCACGGTGAGGGTGCTACGTGTGTTTTTCGTGCTACGTGTGTGTTGGTGAACAAAGGCCAATGACGTACATTTCGTGCTGACTCAACTGACACGAGAGCACGTGGGGCGGCACACGAGCATTCAGTCACGCCAACTCGACCGACGACCACCCTGCTTATCTGCCGCTCGCCTGGAGAGTCGTGCTCTTACTAAATACTCCCCTGCGGCGTACCACCAACGACCGTAAGTCCGAAGGGTTTTGAAAATGAGTGACGTCACTAGAATAGCCAGCGTGTTGACAGCAGTCTTCTCACAGAGAGAAATGCCAACGCAACGCCCCAGAAAACGCACGGGCATTGATTGGCCACAAGCTCACACGAGAGCCCGTTCGCGCGACGGGAGACATTTGTAGCTAGAAGCGTTGCCGAAGGCAGGCGCTATCTCTGACCACGCCCCCGCTGCCGTACCATGCGGGCCCGGCGCTGAGGAAAGGGCACCCCGGGTGCTCTACAACTTCCGTTCCGCAAGGCGGAGCCCGGCGAACTAATTTATCGTAGAAGAGAAAATCTTGGTCCCGCCCTTACACACCAACTGTCTGTCTCCCATTGGGTATTTTGCAGCGTTCTCTCTTTCTGTCGCCAATCACCGCCTTGTGTGACAGCTTTCTCTGACCTTTTTTCTGTCTGTCGGAGTGTGAATGTTTAGTCAACGTCTTGTCTTTTACCCCCCCCCGTATTTTCTGTTTCTTGGTGCTTATGTTTATATTCACCGCCTTGTCTAACAACTTCTCTGTGTTATTTTCTGTCCCTTGTGCGTGTGTGTGTGTCTCCTCGTGTGCTCGTGGTGTCCCCTAGGGGAACAGTGCTGGAGTTGGTGTACCAGGCCATGGCCGACGACGAGCGCCGCTTGGGTGAGTCAGAGTCAGAGATAGAGAAAACATCACTTGTCAGTTGTGCCACATTCTGCGTCTCACACGTAGCGCGAATAACCGCACAAGGCGTCATGGCATGTACCGTAGTCGTGACATGGTCGCCACAGAGAGAGAGAGAGAGAGAGAGAGAGAGAGAGAGAGAGACGGAGGGGGGGCTTGCCAACGGCGAGCACGAGTCGTATGTCCCTGTCGGTCATCAGTCGTGACACGAAACCGTAGCAGCGCATCGCAACACACGTGAGCCACACTCCGAAAGGTCGTCAGATAACCCGTGCGTGATAGTTGTAGCCACCACTTCCTCGTCTGCTGTAGAACACCGCGTTTTTATGTTACGACGCCATTCCGACGGACATCATGCCGTCATTTCATTCCTCGAAGGTTTGTACCCTCTAGAGCACCCTCTTTCGTCGTGTGTTTGTGTCTTTGTGATTCACATCGACCGAGCTAACCGGCGGACCAATGAAAATACGCCAGTCTCAGTGCGGCTGAAAACAGAAAATGCTTCTACAGGCCATGACCGTGTGTGTACGTCATATTTTTAGCATCGACCGCGCCGACTGGCTTGCCAATGAAACCATGCGTGTGTTTGTGTTTGTGTGGGTGTGTGATTTTTTTTTGTTTTTTTTTTCAGGCAAAGAAGCCATCGCAACCGTTGGCGTCAGAATCGGGCGCACGACGGCGCAGGTGTTGCTGTACCTGTGCTCGGCCGTCCTAGGCGGCACCCCTCCCCAGAGGGCCCTCATGGGAGTCGCCCTCGTGCTGTCGGTCGCCTGGGGGGCAACGATCCGCAAGGTGGAGGCGTTAGCGAGGAGAGGGGGCGGTCCCCTGCCGTCCCCGCCTCCTTCGCCATCGAAGCAGCGGGGGGTACCGCCCGCGAAGATATTTACGCCCCAAGCAAGCCGTGATGGTGGTGGTGGCGGTGGTGTAGATGGGACGGAGGGAGTCAGAAGGAGGGCAGTTGGGGGAGTCGAAATAGATAGCAGCAGTGCTACTAGTGCATCTGCTGGCAAGGACGACGACGTCGTTCGTGCCAATGGGAGCGGCAGCAGTAGAAGTACGAGTAGTGCAAGCATTAGTAGTAGTAGTCATAGGAAGGATTTGTAGAGACTGACTGCCGTACAGAGTGTTGCTCTTTCCGAGTGGGGTAGAGATTTTCACAAAGAACGAAGACATTGCGTGACCACAAGTAACGTGGTGCTGCACGCGCGTGTTTGTTGTAGTACATGTATGAAAAAAATCATGAACGGAATTGTCTTGGAGAAGTACCACAACATCCCAGCCACGAACATAGGAAATGCTCTTATTGTGGTGTTTTTAAGAAAAACGACGCTGTTATCGCCGCGTTAATTGAGAACGGGAAGCTTTGAGCCTTTTGGCCTGATGACAAAAACGTGTTGAACAATTGGCAACGCAGCTTGCCTCAGGCAACCGTGCTAATCCTCTCTGAGATTGTCGTTTTCTCTATTACTCCTGTTATGGTGTTAATCTTGTCGTGATGCGGGATGTTGCGTTGCGACCGTTTTGACGTGAAGAAAACGGCCAGCACAGGCGGACAACTACCGCTCGCTGTTTTGCCTGATGGCAACCGTGTTGAACAACAACCCGCCGGGCATGGTACAAAAAAGTCGCCGTACCAGCAAGATGTGTTGGTACAAATGAAAGCACCCACACGTCAGAAGAATGTTCTACCAAATGCAGCCGCACATGCGATTCTCATTAACGAGCCGAAAAATGCGACAGATGTGTTGATTGACCAGAGAGCATGGAGAAGAAAAGCAGAAGGCAGGGGAGAGAACATCAAGCGCACGTTGAGGCAAGGCGACAAGAGAGAGGCAGGCGTGAACACGAGTTCCGCGCGTGCGAAGTACTGCACATCTTCAACCCATGAGGGACTAGTGTTAGCACGTCCGGTAAAACGTCGTATGTAGGACGGTAGAGTTAGGCGAGGAGCCTATCTGTGACGCCGGAAATCTTTTGTTTATCGCCTTCCTGGAGCAGCGTCAATAGTCTTTTCCAGTGTTGTACCGCGCCCAGAGTCGGGTACGATGTACGGTGCGTTAGACCAGCAATTGTGCTAAGCTACATTGTCAATAGACTAGTCGCCCAGGAGCTTCCGTGACCATTATGCAGAGATTGGGAGATGGATCTGTCTGCGCTCTCGCTTGTTGTACCCTTCGCCGTCATCTCGTTCTGTGCATACCCGCTCCACCGCGGGCAAAGGCTTATTTGACTATATACTAGTGGTCTAGAGAGATGGTTCAACTTTACAAACGGCGGCACCATCGCCTGCCTGGGACAACGTAAGGCATCGCTGCACACATGTCCTTTCCCTAGCGCGGCATGCTGACGTAGAACCTACTGGTATACGCCGCGAATATCAGAGCGATTTCGCTCAGCACGAGAAGGGTTCTAGGTGTGTGTGTGGGCAATAACCCCCCATTCCCCCCGCTCGCACGAGGCCCGCGTCTGTCTGCCGTTGTCAAGCACCCAACCTTCATCCCCCAGAACAACAATTCTAATGCGTGCGAATCATTTGAGAACATTTAGCTCATGAATCAGGGTCTTGCTCAAGAATCAGGTTCTTACTCAAGAATCGGGTTCTTTCGGGAAAAACTCATGTCACCCACTGCGGACGCCGTTGGCCCCACCGAGCAACCGGGCGCTCAGCGTCCCCGTCCCGCCTTCCCCCCCCGGGACACCGACGCACCCAACCTCTCCGGCACCAACGAGCTCCTTGCCGGTCCTCGAGAGGGTGATCTTCCCCCCCCCCACGGCTCTCGACCCCTCCGGTGACGATGCCGCTGGGGACACCCCCTTCTTCGCCGTCCGCGCCGCCGTCTTGGCCCGGTCCCTCCCCGAGCCGGCGGCGGCCGACGGGCTAACCGGTGCTACCGCCTCCGGCAACGGCTTCAGCCCGTAGAAGGCGTTCGCGATGGCCGGGTCTGCGTCAACCGCCGAGCCGGTCGGCGACGAGGGGGCGACCGCCGGCGATCCGAGAGGGGCTCCGTCGATACCGGGACGGTTCTTGAGCAGAGCAAGCGCATCGGGCGGAGCCCCTTTCTTGTTATTTTTCCTCTTCTTGGAGGAGGTTGGTGATCTTGACGCCGGGCTCCGTGAGAGGGATGGTGAGGCGCTGCTGCCGGCAGCCGGCGCCCCGCCCGGTGGTGCGCGCTCGACGATGGCCGTCAGGCTTGCCATGAGCGCCTGACCAGGTTACGACCGGGAAGGCGCGCACCTAGATTTAGTGCTATCGTTGTTGTTGTTGCGCAAGTACAACGTTGAAACAGAGATATTAATCTATGGGTGGATGAATGTGTCTAAGTGTGAAGAAAAGTGGACGATGGGGCACGAATTGATGCATGTCTGAGTTTCTTTCGTACTGCCAATCACCATCAACACATCAAGTCAAATGGATCGAAGAGCATGACAACACCTGATGTTCCCCATGAAATGTTCTACGCGAATGTGCGTGCTGGACACTCGTGCACGGTCACCCCCCACACCTGAAGCGTCGATGGCGGTTTAGGATCTTCCCACGTTGCGTCCTTGCCGGCCGGCACGGTGACTCTCTCGAAGGCCTCCCGCACCGTCAATGTGGCGAATTTTTTCACGTTGTCTGCCGCCACCGCCCCGACAGCTGCCGCCGCCTTTGCTCTCAGCTTTTTCCCTGCCATATCTCTGTATTTTCTTCGCCGGGGAAATGGTCCCGTGCGGCGAATGACCTGGTTTTGGTTTGCCAATGAGAGGTTGATGACAGCTCAAGCAGAGAATCATTCCAGAGGCCTCTCTCTCTCGCTCGCTCTCTCTCTCTCTCTCTGCACGCGTAGTAGGTATCACGGCAGCCACGATTAAAAAAAATGCCACACAGAGGCGGGAACAAGGAGCTCGCGGCCACGGCAAGGGCGGGGCGAAGGTTCATGGTGCTGCTTTTTCCCTCTTTCTCACCCGGAGGTTGAACTGTGTGCTGTCGTCGTGGTCCAGCTCCAGCCTCCTGTCCTGCGCGAGCTCCTCGAGAATGTTCGGGGACACATGCGCGCTGAGGATTTGCTCGACGGTAGCCGTGCGTCCCAAGAAGATCGTCATGTTCTTCGGCAGGCAGTGAGTCCAGAAGCCGACACCGAGCACCTTGTTGCGAGAGAGAGGTTGTTGGTGTTACGACACGGCGATGTGCGGCAACAAGCGCGAAACCTCAGCAACACGATAGATATCCGGGCTTTTCTGTTCAAAGACCGCGAATTGGACGTGATACCAAACAACCACGATACTCGGAACGTAGGTCGTTATCCGGAGAAAGCGTTCCCCTCGTATTCTTGTTGCTTGCGCGCTGCTTGAACGACTCGACGTGCCTCGAGACATTTTGTTGGTTGTGCCTCCTACCGTTGAATACGAACAACCCTCGGGCTGGTCAGAAAAACCATATTCACGGCTGCCGTTCCTGTACGGATTGTACCCAAACCCCTGACAGTGTACATCGGTTTGTCGACTCTAGATGCTTCTCATTCTTGAGCACTCTGTCAAAGGTAGAATGCGAAAATATATTTTCTTCATCCACTCTCGGCTCTTCCTATGCGACTCAAACCCACCACACCTTTTTCTGGAGGACCAGCCGTGTGTGGACCGCGGGGGCTTGAATCTGAGGGTTGGCGGACACAAAGGCAGACCAGGCATCCATGTCCATCTCGGGAAAACCAAGCAGGGCATCGTCTCTCTCGTGGAACCTGTTTGTTGTACACGGCGGGCAACATGCATGAGATGCGAACTGCATGTTTCACTCGCAGAGACCCTCTGGTCGGTGGTCCCTCTTGCTTGTGATTGGGCGGTGTGTCGTGTTCAGATTTCGGCCGGTTGCAGCCGCTCTCACAACGAAAACACAGCAGTGGTAAGCGGGAAAAATAGCACGAGGTTATTGAATACGATCGATAAAGCTTGGAATCTTCACGTGCTTTTGTGTCTGTTTCAACATGTCCCCCTCTCTCACCAGGTGTGGACAGCTTTGGCCTCGTCGTTTTTCTCCCACTCCGGCCCGAAAACATCCACGATCATGAAGTTGAACTCGTCGGCCCCGATCTTCCCGTTGTGGTCCATGTCTAGCAGGTCGAAGCATAGGCACACCACTGAAGCATTACAGTTGCAGCCTGCCCACAGAAGAACCAAGTGTGTGTGTGTGTGGCATCAGAAGAGTAGGGTTGATCGCTACTCGGGTGGAGATGACGACCCCAAGCCGACCCTGGATGCTCGCGAGCTGTAGGTGTATGTGCCGCGTGTGAACGCGTCAAGTACCCGCCCTTGTTTTGGGTGTATTCGATTGTCACGAGGTATCTGGTAGTGCTGGCGTCGTCTCGTACAACCCCCAAAATATCGCAGGAGATCGCAAGTCTAAACCTTCAAACAGACGACCTTTCGCGGGGTGTGCATTCGTTGTCTCACAGTATGTCCACATGCCCACGACTAGCTCCAGGAAGCCAATCCTGTTGTCGCGATCCTCGTCGAAGCAGCGGAAAAGCCTTGTGGTGGAGCGATCGTCTGGCAGGTTAAAGTACTCTCGGAACTCCCACAATGTCACCGTACCGTTCCCCGTCTCATTCATCTGGATTCAAGTGTGTACGGATGGCGGGCGCTGTGGTTAAGAGATATGGCTAAGAGACGAGAGTGTGGATTCAGAACGAGGCCGGGGGCGGGGTAAAGCAAGTGGGGTGTACAAGCGAGGTTCGTTTCGCTTTGCTCTCGTGTTCGTTTGGCTCTGTCGACTTCCTGGCAACCTTATGGTTTGTAACCTACAGTACTTCCTCTGTTCGAGGTATCCTTGAATTTGTCCAGCCCAGGGGTTTGGTCTGTGTGTGGGGATACGAGGTACGGTATTCACCAGACGCTCACCGGCCAAGCTCAAGGAGCATTAGACTATTCTGTTGCGCTTGTATCTGGTATAAAAATTGCCCAAACGCCGTTTAACGACTACGCATACGCCTCTACAGAGTAAGCACTGCTGCTGCAGTGTGCGATTGCTATGAGTCATACCTCGACCCACGGGAATCATACTCGCACCTGCCGGAAGTGTCGCCACAAGTGCGAAATACTCCATTCGTGGAGCCCAAGCGCTGCAAAAAGGGGACAGAGTTCTTTCTGTTGGGCGAACTCCGGTGTCTCATAAAAAGAGCCAGCTTTGCATCTCCTCTCCTCCAGGGCATACACCACAGATGGCAGGACTTGAAGGACGGCGATGTGCAGGCTAGCTCGTTGGTCTTCTGTAACCAGGCTCGCCGCCGCTCCCATGATATCTGATGATCATCTGCGGGTGGAGAGTTTGGTTTGGTCCCGGCGGTAGGTACTTACAATAAATAGACTAAGGTTGCACACGCACGACAAAACACCAAACACGGCTCGTGTAAGTTCTCCCTTCTCTCTCTCCCTCTCTCTCTCTCCCTCTGTATATATATATATTTATATCTGTCTCTGTATCTCTCTCTCTCTGTCTTTGTCTTTGTCTATGTCTTTGTCTCTGTCTCCGCGCTGCTCTACCTTACAGCTCAGCAGTGGAGATGCGGCGTATCCGAAATTTGAAATTGGGCAATGTATGAAGGCCACTTGTTACAGTCCCGTAACGGACAAAAAAGGCGCGACGCGGTCTCCACGAACTCCTTTACTCATGTTCTCCTCTCTCCTCCCTCTGCCTCCTCCTCCTGCCTCTCGTCGCCGTCTCTCCTTGGCCGGCAGAACCGCAGGGATGCTGGAGAGTGCAGCAGAGCAATGTTTACTACAAGGCGGCGCCGTCGTAAGAGACCCGTGGTCTGGGAGGTCCACAACTTGTGCCTCGTTACACTCTTGACCTCGTGTGGTCCTCTGGTGCAGAGCCCGGCAACATCATCGGCCCGTGCGACGGCGGTGCCGGCAGCGGCAGCAGCGGCCGCAGCAGGAGGTAGCCCTGCGCGGCCAGCCTTCTTGCTGCGGTCTCTTCTCGGTTCACCTCGAGCGCAGTGCTCATTGACTCATCGGTGCTCTTGGAATTCAGCAGCGGTGACCAGGCGCATCCCTCCGCGCCCGCTACCCAGCGGCGCCGGGGCATCATCCTCGTACAGCAGTTCAATCTCGATGTCAGCGCCAATGTCGAGTAGGAGCTTTGACGGCGAAGCAGAGGGGGACGATCGTGCCCCGCCCCGGGTCAAGCGAAAAGGGGGGCGGCCCAAGGGAGCGCCCAACAAGAAGCCAAGGAAAGCAGCGGACGGGAGCATCGCGAGGAACATGACCGCGGCTCAGCTACAGCAGCTGGTCGAGCTCGCTCGGTCAAAGGGTCTCCAAAGGTCTCCCGAGCGTGAAGGCGATGGTGACGGTGAGGACGGCAACAACGCCCCTGAAGATGGTGGTAGTAGCGGGAGGAGCACCCTGGAGTTGCTCGCCGACGAGGCGGGCATCTCCGTTGGTGCAAGTGCCGGACGCGGGGGCGACAGCAACAGCAACCGGCCCACGAACGACGACCCTTGGCATAGCGCTGGACTGGAAGGAGGAGAGCTTGTAGATGGCGACAACGACGACGATATCGACGATATCGACGATGAGAGTTTCGGAGATCTTGACAACGACGATGTGCCCTTCGGTGCGGAGATCAGGACCGCCGAGAAGCGGGTTCGCGAGCTCAGACGGAAGCAGCGGCGGCAGCTCAAGCGCCAGCGGCTGGAGCACACACTAGAAGACGAGATAGAGAGGGAAGCGGCCGCGCTGGACGCCGCTCTTGCTGCCGTCTACGGCCCGGGAGGACGGCCGTCCGATCTCCTGAGCACCGCCAAGCAACGCAAGAGCAGCGGAGCGGAGATATCATCGCCGATGGTAGACGGCCGGGTGCAGGACGAGGGCCAGGAGGAGGAGGACCCGCAGGTGCAGCAGCGAGTACCCCCGGTTCCATACGGCCGACCGGAGGTTGGCAGCAGCGTCGACGACGACAACAGCGTCGAGGAGAAGTTCGAATTTAATGATCTGTTCCGGGGGGTGGGGATCGGGGACGCGGGCACGCAAGAGCGGGGGGAAGATCAGCTGCCGGACGCTATAGAACTGATTGACCGCCTGGATGAGCTGCTGGCTCTTGACCCGCCGAGCGAATCGGACGCCAGGCTGCCGCACCCGGAAGCCGAGCCGGACGAGGAAACGGTTCGCTTGATGCAGGCGAGAGGGATGATGATGGGTTTGGAGAGACAGGTGTTGGTTGTTGCGCCGCCGAAGCCGTGTAGGCAGCAAAGTGAGAGCAGCCGGTTGCATTTCTTCATTCGTGTGGGGTTGACCGAAGAGCGGCGCGGGCCTCAGCACCGCAACGCCTGGTCGTACACAATACAATGTACCATCCCGCCACCCTAGCCTACTGTCTGACCAGAGTGATTCCTCCCCCCCCGTATGCGCTTCAATCGTGTGACGAGCACTGCACGTTGGAGATGAGGGGGTGACCTTGTTGTAAACGGGTCTCATGTCGAGGACGATTCGCTCTTGTCACAGGGACGTGCTATTGACACTAATATCTCCAAGGAACGGTGTTACGCCCTAGTTTAATCACTCAACATAGGGCTCTGCCCTCCCCCCCCCCCCCCCCCCCCCCCCC